GACAGGGGGCGAAATCCGCTACAACGACCGGTAGCCAAGGAGCTTAACGAAGGGCAGCCACACAGTCTCCGGTCAATAATCACCGTGGCGCTTCTCAAAGACACTATACAACATTTGCCTACGACCAACAGCTAGACGAACTTTCTTCTTAGCCATTTTCACTAATTAAAGACAAACTTCAGAACTATTTAAATATTTTCACCAATATTTGGCTTACTGTAGCTCTGTGGATTTAATGTTCCGGAAAATATTTAAGTGGTATGTACACATTCAGTCACCAGTGACTAGTCGCTGCCAAGCAACTATTATTTAACGAGGTTGGAGCAGTCGCATGCTCAGCAAGAGGTATTCAGCATGTATGTCTTCTTGTGCACTCCATATTCACTACTTAATGCATCTGCCGTTGCCAGTGTTTTCCTTCGGCTGCTAGTCGATGCCTTTAAGCCGATCATCTATGGGGTCAACTTCCTGAAACGCACTTCATGTTCTCTACACAACAGCCTTTCGTATTACTCTTCTGACCACGGGTTCACCAGATCACAGTTTACAAGGACAGAGCTCTTTCGCGCAGGTCATTTAGACCCTCTTCGTCGTCGGCGTTTCCTGGATCCCGCAGGCTGCTAAACAGCGCTCTTTGACCATGCTCAGTGAAACATAACACTGTTTACATTCTATTTGTTCCCATACATTGTTTATTGTGTAGCTGGTTCAATCATTTGTTGTATTCCTGTTCCATCTGTTTGTTTTTTTGACAAGTCTAATTTGTGAAATTTGTTCGTTTTATTGTCCCATGATGTCATCTAATCTGGCACTGAAGTGGTGACCTAAAAACTGGTGCATCAGTCTTCTCCGGCAGACTGAGACCAAAGTGCTGCTCGCCACTCGCAAAAGATATTTGTCTGTGACCGAAACCTCATAAAGGACTCCACATTCGCAAATACCGTGGACTAAATGAAAGCTTTGCAGACATCGACGAAAGTTCAGAAAAGGCCGGCGTCTCAAATGGAC